GGTGTCCAACAAATTATGAATGCCAATATATGTCCAAGAAGTCTAAGCATAGCTTTTTGCTGGTTGTTACTTTTTTCCGTTGACGTATTATGAAGGCCATTTCCATTAAAACTGCTTAAATCAAAATCGATCAAAGATCTAGTCGAAGCAACTGGAAACCCCATAACAGGAAGACGACGAACGGGATCAAGAACAGCAAACGCTACGATTCCATGAGGTGGTACCGTTGTTTCACAGGAAGTTCTGTTCACATGTGCATTAAGATCGGTTATCTTTTTGGCGTGAGATCTTGCAACAACGATGATTCTAAGATAGGAATACCCCATTGTGATAATTGGCACTAAATACGTCATTAAAAATTGTAATATTGCGTATGATAAATGAGTATTCCATTTTATATAACACAGGTACAATTTAGGGTCATAGGTTACTGACCCCCAGATCCCGGTAATGCTAGGGATAGAGCTAACTAGTCCAAAGACCCACGTGGCGGTCAAAGCAAGGGTAGTGGTCATCATAGGTGACCAGGAGGAGTAGCGGAGACAATGGATGATGGAGAGGTATCGATCCAACGCAATAACAGTGGTGGTTAGGATGGACACTACAGAAAAAAGACTCGTTGATATGGCCGTAAAGGAACACATCGTCTGAAATGAGAGAGGAATGAAGCGTCATAGGAAAGTGAATATTGTTTTTTTTTATTTTTCAAATACTATACTGTTTAGAAATGCAAAATGAGAGGCAGATATTCAACATTTGTTGAATGCTAGTTGGGGTATTTTATCAGATATATTTTGATGACTAATGGTAAAACTGGAACTTGTAACCTATGCATAAGCCGTATATCGCAAAATACTTTTGAGAAAATTAAGTCGGCTAAGGCTGTTTCAGAAAATAGGATCCTTCTTTTATATAGAAGATGTCTTATGGAATATAAATATGAGTTTCTGCTAAGATAATTTTGTAAACATTTCCAGAAATGGTTTTGTAAAAAAATATTATCAAATTTTTTTTACATGGTATGTCAACCAGAATTAGCTCATTGGAGGCTTATGTTAATGATTTTAGCTGTTTGTGTTTTACTAGTAATCCCCAAGAGGATAGTTGTTTACTTTGCATTTATCGATTGTCATCACAATAAATCATCAAATGATATTAAACCTCGAAGATTTATTATTACTATAGACATGGGTCCTATTAACTGTAGCTTATATTGCAAGCTAGCGATCATCATCTTACATTAATTGAAGTGCTGCATTGTAGCGCTACAAAGAAGTTCCTGTGTGTCCTTATATGAACAATACTTCTAACAATCTACCACTTTACACACTAGATTTTCTGCGACACACTTATTTTGATTAATATCTTTTTATTGATAGGTAAAAACTAAAAACCTATTGATACAAAGTTTGAGCAAAGCAGTTCGTTACTTAACAAGTTACTAGAAATTGATAGGAATTTTGACATCCATGCCATGACATCTTTTGTTTACGTCGGGGAGGATACTGTTCCTCCGCAGCAATAACAAAATTTGCTTATAAACTAATTAGATCCAGTGTTTTTGAAAATTTTTCGTGATCTTCCCCAATTTGACATATGGATGAAAAAATACCTTGCATACTATCACCCACTTCATATTAATTAGTGATAAAGATGTAAAAATAAACAATAAAATGCCTTCTTCTGTTTATACGATAATGAACAATAAAATGCCTTCTTTTTATACGATAATGAACAGTTGCAACCATTGCAGGAAATATTATACTTTTTCCTTCTTCAATGTTGCAAAGTTTATTCTTTTAGTAAAGGCCATAAAACCATAAACTGATTTTTGATTGTTTGTTGTTTAACGTCCCTCTTCACTTGAGAATATTTCACTCATATGGAGACGCACCATAAACTGAGAACAGGTTTCAGTCAAAATATCAAATTAATATAATTTTTGCAAAACTTTTATAATGAATGTATTATAAATGACAAGCTATACTGAAAGGAAAAAGAAACGCAGCGGTAAACTTTTGAGGTTAAATAAGTTTATTTTTCCTTGTTTTTCTAGTATTCGTATCTCACGTTTGCAAAATTTTTTAATGAAAATGGAACCAAAATCTCATTTGATTTTGCCATACAATTCTTGAGTTAATGAGACTGATATGGGAATACCCCCCAAAAATGAAAATTCTCATCATTTTCAATGTCTTCTTCCCTTGACGTGGCTCTGCTAAGCGTCAATGTTTTCATCACGGTTGCATGGAAACCATTCAAGGCCCTCTTTTACGACGGTTAAGACGTTCCATGTGGGAAAAATTTACAACCGACTGCACAGCAACTCGTTGTTGCCGTTGTCCTTACTTAGACCATGTAAAAGACCTTGCGGAACTTCCGTCAACTGTTACAAGATTGCAAGAAACTCATGTCGTCAATGTGCAACAGTATATACCTCAACTGCATCAAATGGTACAAGTATTTCGTTGACAAACTTGTCGTCACTAATTTGCACGTGTTTTGGCCTTTAAGCAACTTTTCCTCGTGACGTCATACATTTCATGGCTGAGTAATTCTGAACACTGAAACCAAGATTCTCATTTGACCAGTTTTCGTAATTTTCATCATCGCCATGCGATCAAAAAATTTGCAATTTATGTTATCCTGCGTCTTTTTCCTTTCAGTAGGCTATTTAAATAATCAGAACTTTGACTTGAGTCTGTACTCAATATATAGTCTCCAGGCCGTTAGTATAATTCTGTCATCTAATTTTTAAATGTTGAAAGAAATACAAATTTAAAGATAAAAATGGATCGTCTTTACTTAAGCGTAATGTAACATAATTGAATGTTCAATAAAAAGAATGCTTTAAGATATTTGACATAAAATTTTCAAACAGTAATAGTTTTATGTGAAATAATAGATTCTAACTTTAAAACATAATTAACTTAATTTTATATTTAAATCATACATATATGATCAATGATTTTCTTCTGAATGCTTGTTTCTTGTAATAAACAATAACAGATAAAATACCTGATTAAAGTGCCATCCTTCGTACAAGAAACTGTCTGTGAGGGTCGAAATCCTAATGACGCCGTATAGTAAGTCACAAACACCAAGGTTAAGGAGCAACAAAGAGCTTCCAGACCGTAAGCTTGGTGTTCCCAAAATTGTCAAGATGACAGTTATATTCCCGACAATACAAAGAACACACAAAATGCATAAAGAAAATACGAAGATGACGTCTCCAACACAAAGAGCGCCATTGGAAGCCATCGATGAATGTGTCTGAAATCACTTAGAATTCTAAAACAAAAGAGAACGAAGTGTTCATTTAACTGGCTATTGTCACGCCATTTCGCTTCATCAAGGAATGTGTCTCTAGAAATTCTGCACAGTCTAATCCTCGATCATTAGTTAGTGTTCTATCACGTTTAGAGAAGACACTTTGATATATACTATTCTCTCGGTGAGAAGAAATCGACCAAACCCACGTGACGAGAAGTACTGCGAGAGTTGACATACTGCTAGGATAGTACTTTATTATTACATTGATTCGCTATGTAATAATTTATCGTTTCTATTTATTACCTGAGGTTGTTTACTACTTTCGCTCCAAAGTTGAAAAATAATTATTATGTCGAAGGCACTGATATATGTCGTTAATCTTCACTCAGTTTAATTTGAAACTGGCTACAGATACCATTTTTATCTAAAAGGAAAAGAAAATAATATTAGAGGCCTCCAATACAGATCGCTGTAGAATTTTTTCCCAAGAAAACTTGATTTTTGAATAAGGGAGTGCCATTAGATTTCATTATCAATTCCTTATCATGATCAAGTTTTTTCCCAACAAATCTTGACCTTTGAAATACTGTAGGGAATGCCTATAGATTTCATTTTCAATTCCTTCTCATGAACATATTTAGATTTAATGGTTCGTGTAGCCAGATGTAATTGCTTAAACAGCATCCGTTTATTGGGGGTGTTTTTTCCTTATGTCGACGAATATCTACTAAGACTATTTAATTGTTGTCTTCAAGATACTCGCTTTAAGAAAACACCATGTCCCTCAAACGGTTTGTCCAGATATTTGTCAAATTATTTTGATTAATGATGCAATTTGATTTATTGAAGGGTTGCATGTTGATTTACGTCATATTCGAGAAATTTTCATTTATCATAAACATCATTATACATGTACTTAATTCAGGGCAATTGAGCAATAAGAAATCCGTGATACGAGACTTTACTGTTAAGTCTCGACCGAAAGACCTGCAACTTTCACTTTTAAGTGCCGAATGTTTGGCGAAGGAACAGTTCTTTTATAATCGAAACAAGGTCTTTAACGGCTTAAACCAACGACCTCCGATAATGGAGCTAGCGCAATAAATTCTTGGGAAATGGTAAAGGTTGGCACGATAAAGAACTCTCACTGGTCCTGAGTGCTGATATAAGGACTGAATTGAAAGCCCTTTCATGGCATAAGATGACTCTCTTTGAGTGAATACTTCTCGAAAGGGATGTTAAATAACACACAATCAATCAAAAAGAATCATTGAGAGGAATCATGCTGCAATATTTAAAAAAAAAATGTATAGTTTTCCTATAAACATAATATATTAAAGCATCGTTCTGTCGTCAGAAAGCTGAACGACATCAATCTCGATCTCATGTCCACTTTGCATTGTCTTATCCGGTTAACATCATGTACATCGCAAGGCTGGAAGAAAAAAAGCCGACATATTTTCACAATCAATCAAAAAGAATCATTGAGAGGAATCATGCTGCAATATTTAAAAAAAAATGTATAGTTTTCCTATAAACATAATATATTAAAGCATCGTTCTGTCGTCAGAAAGCTGAACGACATCAATCTTGATCTCATGTCCACTTTGCATTGTCTTATCCGGTTAACATCATGTACATCGCAAGGCTGGATGAAAAAAAGTCGACATATTTTCGTTAAGATTGTTCAGGTCGAAGACATGGCATCGTCGACATTGCAATGAAGGATGTCATCGAGTGGACTGTTTATCAACATTGCCTTCACTTATCCTGCTTACATCGTTGATAATGCCGATGTTGCAATGTTGGGACAAATTGTGTTGTCTTCCTATCAATTCTTCCATCTTTTAAACATCATTAACATCACAAAATTGGATGACATCGAGTTGCATTGTGATAACAACTCATTCCTGTTTACAAGATCACCGACGTTAGAATGTTGGACTATATATCTGGTTGACAACCTGCCCATAAATACACGTTTGCATTGTTCAAATCGTGGAAATTGTAATGATAAATTTGATCGAGTCAACGTCACTAATTAGTCCCGGTGAAACCGCAAAAGACTATAGGTTTCCTCTGAGTCCGCCCGTCTGTCTGTCTGTTCCACTTCGTTTTCCTCAATTGTTTTTGTAAACGCTTGCAGATGTTGAGCTGATTTTTGGTATGCAAGTGTATCTTGATTAAGTTACAGATCAATTTCTCATTTCGTTCCGCTTCATTTATTGTCGACGGAATAATGGCATTTTTTATTATTGGATTCATGATCGGGATCGTGCTGCACTATATTAATGTTCCAAATTAGATTGTCATGTTAAAAGTTATTGATTGGAAACTTGCCAAATTAACCAGTTAAAATGAGCTGTTTTTATCAAAGCATGTCTAATGGCATTCAAACACTTCTTTCTTTGTAAGGCAGAATGACCTAATTCCAATTAGACATTTCATTCATAAAGAAGTAATTACTTAAATGAAAACTTGAACAAAAACTAGCTTAGTTTCACAGGACTTTTGGGTTTTTGTTCTATCTTAAAGTAATTTAAAGATTCCTTCAGTAAATGAAACAAAAATGACATTGTCTTAAGTAGGTCACATCAGAATTAAGTCTGCGACTACTTCTACCCTCTCAACAAATCAATATTTCATGTGATCGTTACAAATTTGTTCCTTCCAGAGCGTGCTTCTCAATGGTGATTAATTTCCGTTATAATCTAAATGTATGATGTAGACTGCAAACTGGTTTCTTTTTACCACTTAATCATTATGATAGTGTCCCGTCTATAAAAAGAAATTTCCACCTTGATTCGCATAGTTGAACTGAAGTTTTATTTGATTTCTTAAAGTATCTTTCTTCGATACTTTATTTTAGACAAAAAAAAACGTTATGAATATTGCAAAGATGGGAAACAAAGAACTGATGAATTATTATGTATGGTGAAATTTTGTTACATTAAGATTCACAACTTATGTACCGACTTTTTTCAATAGGTTGAACATTGGGTAAAGATAAAATATATTCTGTAATAAAGAATAGTAATCAAGTGGTAAGAACGTCTGCTCTAGAGTCGCGAAGTAAGGAGTTGATCCTTGTGTCGCTGGTTCTAATCCCATTGTGGGACGTAGAGACCGGTCCTTCGGATGAGACCTGATAAACCGATCCCTTCCTGCTCAATGGCCCTAAGTGCCGAGTATAGGACAAAATTTACCGCTCTCCACCGGCAAATGGTGTCGTCTTCATATGAGTGAAAAATTCTCGAGAGGGACGTTAAACATTATATAATCAATCAAGTTTAAGTACTATGAAGTTTACAACAAAAAGATGTTTGAGTTTCTGATTGACAATATCTACATGTACCTGGTATGTGGTTTTTGGAGACCAGGTCTTCCAACAAACTATTGGAATTCCCATCGGGACCAATTGCGATCCGTTATTAGCAGACCTATTTTTGTATTCACTTGAAGAAAAACTTGTGCAAAATCTTATGCGTGAAAAGAAGAAAGCTGCGGCCTTCAACTCAACATTTAGATATATCGAACGACGTATTGTCCCTTAACAAAGGTAATTTTCATTCCTATGTCGACGCGATATATCCTGGTGAGCTTGAGATTAAAGATACCACCGAGTCTGACACATCTGTTTCATACTTGGATATTTTACTTGAAAAAGACGTTAATGGAAATCTAACAACTAAGTTCTATGATAAACTTGATGACTTTAACTTTTCTATTGTCAACTTCCCTTACTTATGCAGCAACCTTCATCGCCTGCATACGGTGCTTATATATCTCAGTTGATTTGATACGCAAGACCATGCACTACGTATGAACAATTTCTATAACGAGATAAATTGTTGACAAACAAGTTGATAAGACACAGATATCAACAGTCTCGGTAAAGGTCATCATTTCGTAAGTTCTATGGTCGATACAATGACCTTGTCAGCAAATACAATTTATCAATGAGTTAAATGCTGACTGACGTTTTTCATACTATTTGTTAGTCCATTATTTATGCACTGATTTGACGAAGGATTTTTCCGTTATTTCCCGATCATGAAAAGGAGCACATGGTGGATATGAACGGTCGGCAGGGGATGCTCTCTCCTTCATGATACTTGATCCCACCTCTGATATTTTGGAGGTCCGTTTTTGCTCTGCTCCTATTTTGTATATGTTTTATGGACTGTGATATTGAAAAGATACTATTCGTTGTTCTCTATATCCTTCATTCAAAAATATATTTCAACAATAAATCGGATACACAGACTAAGCACGGTCATCAAAAAACACCTGAGGTGGGATCAGATGCTATGGAGGAGTAAGCATCACCTGTCGACCTCACACTGGAGCATTCGGTTAAGGCTATTTTCACCTACTCGATTTTCCTGTTGAAATTTGCTAGAGGTAAGAACAGATTCAGGTCTTGCAAAGATGAGGCAAAATGAATGCCTTTCATAGCAGTCCAATTGTTTAATTTTTGTTGAAACTTTTTTCGGGGGTGGGATGGGGGTCGAGGCATCGCATGTAGGAAAATTCATTATTTCGTGGTATCATGACTGCGGTGAGGAAACGTCCATGTTTGCAATATACACTGCAAAAATATAAATAGCCTCAGTCATCGCAAAGCATTATTTTTATTCATGCTAATACATTGTAATGTCTTTAAATTTAAATGACGGCGGATCAAAGTTCTCAAAACATTTGGTGCGACTTCTGTGTTAATCCAAACGATATATACTCATAACACAACATTCATCGTGATTTATTTGTATTTAAATGTTTCATTGTTATGGGTATTTTTAGAGTTAAGAAGGATTAAAACAGAATGTAAATCAGATATGTTCTTGGAGAGATTTTAAAGTACATTTAGAAAAATACAAAATGGATTTCAGAACTTTAATACTTCTCCTCTCCTTAATTTTAGGTAGGTTATCAAATTAATTTGTCAACTTTTATAACATTTGTTTCTTTACAACTGTTCTGTAGCCATTTCATTACATGCAACGCACTGCAAATATATTTAAAAGATGGCTGCCATGGTTGTTCCTATCCACGCTTTATTCAGAATGTGACATGGAAAGACACTACTAAAGGTCGTGTGGTGTATGGAGATACCAAGATGACTGGCTGGGCTTTTGTCGCCTTTAACCAGATGATCGCGGACTGGGAGTGCTACATGAAGGACGAACATTTCATTGTGTCAAGGTAAAACACTTCATAACAGACTCTACACTTTTTTCACGAATAAGGAGGTCCTGTGACTGTAAGAAAAAAAATGGCGGGGTTTGAAGTAATGTTCAATGATTAGTTCTGATCCATTTGATATAAAATGTTTTGCATATAATGTAAGATATGTAGATGACGAAGAGCAATTAAAATCAAAAGAAAACGAATCGTGTACTGGGTAAAAACAATGGCAACTTAAAACATCAGAGGTGTGATCACGTGCCGTGGAGGAGTAAGCAACTCGTATCGGCCGGTGAGCCCTGTGACGGTATTATTTAAAACCAGTGTCACAACAATTAATCTGGAACAGATTGAGCAAAAAGCATGTACGAACCTACGATAGTTGTATTTTATAGTCATTTTAACTACCTCGTTATTTGTGAAACGAATTGATGACTTTATATGTTGCTGTTGGAATTCCTGTATCATTAACTTCATTTTGATTACATTTGTACGCTGTCTCTTTTAAAAAATCTGATCATATTCAGAACATGCTCTTGAGTATCGAATTAGTTGGATGACAGTGTATATTACTAAATAAATAGGGCAGAAATCAGTGGGAAAAAGCTGAGGTGAACCTGTTCGTTTTTTAGTTGGCCATCAGGAGAAGATCAAAGATTATTTATGGGGAAGGGGTATAGGTTCTCTTAACGCCTCATGTTGAAAACATACATATGAGAAATTTCTATCTTTTTTTAACAGGTCAACTACAACAATTAAAGTGTTTGGAGCTGAAGTTCATGCATATCTTTGCCAGAAGCTGAGTCGAATTGATGAAAATGCTATTTACTATTACGCAATGACAGGTAATAAAACATACGGAGGTAACGAACTATACAAAATAGGAGCAGAGCAAGCACGGACCACCAAATCATCAGAGGCGGGATCAGGGACTATTGAGGAGTGAACATCCCTTGCTGACGGTTACAACCGCCGTGTGCTCTTTGTCATGATCAGGAAATAATGGAAAAATTCGTCGTCAATTCAGTGTATAAATAATAGACTAATAATTAGTATGAAAAACGTCAGTCATATACATTGTACATTTATGTGACATTATGATCATTTTCCTTCAATCGCCACAATATTTTATACTTGCAAGAGCGGTCGGAAAGGTTTTTAGAATGTTTTCCGGGTCACTAAGACGAGTGTCCTAATGCCTATTATAATTGTTTTATGCTTGCAAACTATGCTAAATTGGTGGTAATATAAAAGTTCGATAATATTTTTTTATGAAAACGCTGTTAATTTGTAAATTTACTATTATTTACTATTAACCTCTAATATTTGTTACAAATGTGTTATACAGATAAAGAAGAGAATGCTGAAAGAGAGAGAGTACATGTAACTGCGGCCCTGATACAAGATGTCTGCACTGTCTGTAATCCGAAGTCTTCTCCAGCAGACGAGGAGTTCCGAGTTCTTGTCAGAGATGGTATGGCTTCAGCAATATTGTTGGATTTCGATTTTGGCGTTTTTCAATGTAAAAATCAAACACAGCTATCCCTACAAAGAGCTTTCGAAATGATTAATTTTCTTAAACTGCTGCATAAGAATATTGACGGCATGCAATAAAATTGATTGAAAATTGAAATATCCCAGAAGATCAAAGAGATGCTATATTTCCATACATTTACATATATAAACACATTGATTGATTGAATATGGTTTAACGTCCTATTGCGCCATGCGGACGGCGTCAACACACTTTGAAAATTAAAAGATGTCAAAAGATAAAGATCTCGCCAGCCGAGGCCCAATCCAAGAAGTTTATTTTATTTTATTTTGCAAAATGCAGTTTTAATGTACAATTTTTACCTCGATGAAGATCAATATTGCTGTCAGAATATGCAAAAATTGGACATCAGTAAAAACGTTGCTGTTGAAGGATAATTTTCGCGCAGAATTTCATTTTGTCGACCAGTTTTCTTCGATGTAAAAGCAATAAGGAATCTTTTTCGTGCGAAGCGAGATTCGAACTCGCGACGTAAGAAACAACTCCTTAAATCGCAACTCTACCGCAAACGCTGTAATCACTCACTGTGTTATGTACATTGTACTTATCAAGAAATAAATGGTTATGAACAAGACAAGACATCAGTTTAAAATATCTTTACAGGTACTGAAGTTGACCCGTCATTATTAGAGGCGCCAGTTGTTGGATGTAATCCGTGTGTTCTTCAGTGTGATATACCAGGCTCTCCACCTGTACCTACCACCACAACAATTAAACCTACAGGAAAAATGGTTTTCAAAATCAAAAATAAAAAGCCATCCGTAAAACCTACTGATAAGAACTCAATACAGAAGAAATCTAATGCTGGACTTGTCGTTGGAATTGTTATTGCGCTGTTAGTCCTTGTGTCTATGGGTGTAGGAGCTGCGGTCTGGTACTTCCGATTTAGAAAATAAACACATCAATTCAATTTCTACTTGTTTTTATAAGCGTTCACTAGAAGTCTTTTAAGGTCAAGATTTAGTAAATGTAAGGTGCCTACAGATTGATCAAATTTGATGCTTTACAACTTCAGCTTGGTCAAATAAGGTGTTTCGGGGCATAATTTGTAGGTAAACAAGACGAAAAACTGTATTTTAAAGTGTCATTTTCAATGAAAAATTAAGAAAACCATTCATGAATATGGGAGTTTTTTTCATATTCGACAAAGGAATTGTATCCAGATTGCCTACAGTCTCTCAGAAAACGGTAATTTGTATGTTCATAGCCTCTTCTTTAAATCAATATCAAATATAATATAGGTATCCGGTTTACTTTTCATATAATTTCAAATTGAATGTCATGAAAATACCCTCTTTTCTACAAAATTCTGCTAAAGCTGTAAAGTACGGGAAAAAGAAAGTTGAAATTGATTATGACGTCATAATGGATCTAGCACCAAAAAATTAGTCTAAAGTTATTTACTACATCTTGAGCTTAAGCTGAATTTTGTTTTTTATTTATTGACAGTCCTGTAATGCCAATGGCAAAGTAGTTCAAGAAGAATTCCCACTAATTTTGCAAAAAATTAGTTAATATACATATGATGAACTTTGGACATAGAATTACACACTGCTTTCGATACAGGGTTTCAAAACCAGAGCAATTAAACAACCCAATTGAGGAGATTCATAAGTCACAAAACTTAGTATTGTCCAGCACCTCATTAAAGCACCCATCAGTAACGTAAATAATCAACGAATGTCAAAATGAAATTCGTTCTTCACACTTATATATGTGCACCATGCCATTATTACTACGTTATGCGGTCGCCCTCGTGGCTCAGTGGTTAGAGCGTCTGCTCTTGAGTCTTGAGGTAAGAAGTTGATCATTACGTCGTGGTATGAATTTCACTGTGGTACGTCGAGAACAGTTCTTTGGATGAAACTGTACAAACCAAGGTCCCGTGTAGCCGGTAGGTGTTTACACGAAAAAAAAAATCCATGATTGAAAAATTCTCAAGAGGGACGTTAAACAAATTTTTTAGGACTAACAAATTCCAATTAGTTGCAGTTTCCGTTTATTTTCTTCGCAGAGGTTGCATATACTGAAGTGAGATTGGTATACAGATTTATCATACGAATATCTACAGCAAGTGCTGTGTAAATCAAGAATTGTATTGATTGATTGTATATTACTAAACGTCTTTCTTGTGAATTTTTCACTCATATTGGGACACCACCACTTGCCGGTGGAGAGTTGCAAATTTTGTCCTATACTCGCCACTCAGGACCATTGATCAGGAATATATCATATGAGTGAAGAATTATCAATTAATCATCAATCCTGTATAGAAAAAAATATTATGCTTACGTTTAAAAACCATTTGATAGTAAAACATTTTTTAATTTCGGCTTTGCAGTTGATAAAACAAAAATATCTTACCACAATCTTCAGGTTCTAGGGCATCTTCTGAATAAGAAAAGAACCCCATAGTTTCATACTTACGTTTAAGTTCCATTTGCTAGTAAAACAGATACTTTTATCTCGCTTTGCTGGTCTTGAGACAAAAAAAAATGCCACAATCATCTGGCCCTTGACCACCTCCTGAATCATAAAAAAAAACAAAGAATAATAACAGAGCTCATGCCCTGTTTACACAAACGTTTGTTTGATTCGCTGTTTGGAAGAATGTTGTTATCATTAAATTCTAAGAATATTCATTTAAGTCCAATTCATTCAACTGGCTTTATTTTTTTTAAATAAGATTAGGAATTAAAATGTAAACAATGCAACTATATCCAGGCCCCTCTAAAGATGTAAAAAGCTAATTCTCTTTATTTGATGGTTTATTTAAATTTTTTGGTTGTTCACTTTTCTGTCTTTTGCTGGCACTAGGCACAGCCTCTACTCCAAAGTAATCTTGTAAAGATTTAATGATGAGGTACAGGTCATTCCGTGTCAGTCTTCTTTCTCCTTCTGATTTTTTTTTCAACATTGTGATGTGGAATCACTTTCTTATTTGTGGACTTAACCGTTCTTGGACCATTAACATTTCCACGGATTGTCTTTGGAAACCCATTAAATCATTCAGAAGAACAGAGTTTTTTTTTAAATTAAGTGGCATGATATCAAAGATTTTATGTGAGGAGAAAACTTTGAGAATAATAATTAAATCAAATTAAAAATTAAAACTTTGCAAGCTTACATACATCATTATTTTAAGTGCGTCAATATATCTATACTTATAGATTAACAAATTTTGCAAATAAGTTCTAAAACGGCTGCACAAGAGTTCTTACTTAAGCCTGTAGGAATACACTAGGTATAATGTGATGTCCGTAAACTATATTCAGATTTCACGCTCATAGTTATTATCGTAAATTTAATAAAATGTCTATATACTTTCATTTTCGAACAACAGCCTCGAAATAGCACAGAAGAGAGTAAAGTGGTGGCGGATCGAAGCAACTGGCATTTTATAATAGAACTGACAACAAGCAAACGCTTATTTATTTCATAAATCTTCATTAATGAATCATTCAATCAAGACTTGATTCAAGTGATTTACAAGAAATAAGCTGTGGTCATTGATTAAAAAACAAAATGTAGGCTTGCCAAGCAGTTTTAAAATGAAGCTTTGGGATCAAAATCATTACATCTTTCTGTTCTGTTACTTTTAATTAACTAAATATGCATTGTATCCATGATTTATAAAAGAATGAATTTTGCAATTTTTATGCCTACATTTCTATTTTTGGAGGCAAAATGTCACCTTTATTTTCATACCTTTCCACAACTGAGAAAAAAAATATATTTTAGGTACAAAACTCGAGCCAAATCACAAAATAACAAGATGCAATGTAAATTATTCAACAAAAACTTTTATTTTGTAATTAACAAATTAATTATTTTGTCAGGCTGGTCTGGCCGTCAGGCTATTCTGGCCTTTACTTGGTAGTTTTGCTCAATGTCTGAAAATAAAAATAAAAAAATTTATTTGGATGCTATTGTAAGTCCATTAATACACAGGGAAAACTCAGCAAGACTTAAAAAAATTGTTACTTTCAAAAATTAAAAGGTAACACTATTAATGTTGTCTGTAGTACCATGCGGGTTCCATGAAAAATCTTTTCTAAGTACCTTCTAACATGTCTGAAATAAAGCACAAGAATATATTTATAAACCTTTAGAAATAACTTATATGAGTTAAATGACTTTAATGAGTTTAAAAATATATTCATTATACATATATTTTTTAATATAAATTGGTGAGTTCTGCTTTAGTGAAATTAAAATGGGTAATTGCTCCTTGTTTCAGTGATGAAGTGTAAATGCAGTTATATAACATCTAACACCAATATAAAAATCTAAATTAAGAATTGATAAAAATAATGGCAACAACTATAAAAAAAAAAAAAAAAAAAAAACTTGGCATGCCTGCGCTTCCAACAGTTTTTTTCAATAGTACCTGAATTGAGAACTTGCCGGTGGAGAGTTCCAAATTTTGTCCTATACTCGCCACTCAGGACCATTGATCAGGAATATATCATATGAGTGAAGAATTATCAATTAATCATCAATCCTGTATAGAAAAAAAAAGTATGCTTAAGTTTAAAAACCATTTGATAGTAAAACATTTTTTAATTTCGGCTTTGCAGTTGATAAAACAAAAATATCTTACCACAATCTTCAGGTTCTAGGGCATCTTCTGAATAAGAAAAGAACCCCATAGTTTCATACTTACGTTTAAGTTCCATTTGCTAGTAAAACAGATACTTTTATCTCGCTTTGCTGGTCTTGAGACAAAACAAAAATGCCACAATCATCTGGCCCTTGACCACCTCCTGAATCATAAAAAAAAAACAAAGAATAATAACAGAGCTCATGCCCTGTTTACACAAACGTTTGTTTGATTCGCTATTTGGAAGAATGTTGTTATCATTAAATTCTAAGAATATTCATTTAAGTCCAATTCATTCAACTGGCTTTATTTTTTTTAAATAAGATTAGGAATTAAAATGTAAACAATGCAACTATATCCAGGCCCCTCTAAAGATGTAAAAAGCTAATTCTCTTTATTTGATGGTTTATTTAAATTTTTTGGTTGTTCACTTTTCTGTCTTTTGCTGGCACTAGGCACAGCCTCTACTCCAAAGTAATCTTGTAAAGATTTAATGATGAGGTACAGGTCATTCCGTGTCAGTCTTCTTTCTCCTTCTGATTTTTTTTTCAACATTGTGATGTGGAATCACTTTCTTATTTGTGGACTTAATCGTTCTTGGACCATTAACATTTCCACGGATTGTCTTTGGAAACCCATTAAATCATTCAGAAGAACAGAGTTTTTTTTAAATTAAGTGGCATGATATCAAAGATTTTATGTGAGGAGAAAACTTTGAGAATAATAATTAAATCAAATTAAAAATTAAAACTTTGCAAGCTTACATACATCATTATTTTAAGTGCGTCAATATATCTATACTTATAAATTAACAAATTTTGCAAATAAGTTCTAAAACGGCTGCACAAGAGTTCTTACTTAAGCCTGTAGGAATACACTAGGTATAATGTGATGTCCGTAAACTATATTCAGATTTCACGCTCATAGTTATTATCGTAAATTTAATAAAATGTCTATATACTTTCATTTTCGAACAACAGCCTCGAAATAGCACAGAAGAGAGTAAAGTGGTGGCGGATCGAAGCAACTGGCATTTTATAATAGAACTGACAACAAGCAAACGCTTATTTATTTCATAAATCTTCATTAATGAATCATTCAATCAAGACTTGATTCAAGTGATTTACAAGAAATAAGCTGTGGTCATTGATTAAAAAACAAAATGTAGGCTTGCCAAGCAGTTTTAAAATGAAGCTTTGGGATCAAAATCATTACATCTTTCTGTTCTGTTACTTTTAATTAACTAAATATGCATTGTATCCATGATTTATAAAAGAATGAATTTTGCAATTT